TTTAAAGTAGGTATTATTATCAGTAGTAGTAGTAGTAGTAGTAGTAGTAGTAGTAGTAGTAGTAGTAGTAGTAGTGCCATCTTCATTCTTCATCAATCATCATTATCATCATTATTATCATGGTTATAATTATTTTATGATGATGATGATGGTGGTGGTGGCAGTAGCAGCAATAGCAGCAGCAATAAGACTACATTAGCAGCAGTAGCAGACACTCGCAGTATGACTAGTTGACACGTATCATAAAACACATTTGGCTTAGTTGAGCCAGTTGAGCGCTGAGCGGCCTAGCAAGCTGTGGAATCTTCCCACTTCATTTATCATTCAGACTGGAAATCTGCCGCGGGGCCCTTATCTCTACTAACGAGCGAGGGGTAGCGACTAATGTTCAATATGACATGATGTGGTGTTCAATATATGAGGCATCGTGGTGAAATCATGCACTCGTCGAAATAATGAAATCAAAGAAATAGGCATTTTTCTGACTGTTGGGCAATTTTTTCCCCAATTTTCTTCTTTTTTTTTCTTTTTTTTTGCTCAACACCTTTTATATTTATTTAAAAACACATTTATGGTGGTTTATACTTAAAAACATTGGTTAAAGGAACAAAAAATATCACTTTTCGGTTTCCACGGACTCTCAAGCTATGGAAATTACCAAATTTTGGTGGCCGTGTCCTTGCTAAATTTACCTCTCGAAAGGGGGACGACCTTGACCTCCTTCAATCGCAAATATTTCAACTTCTGTTCAACACAGATGGGCATTTTTGTCATCAAAAGCAAGGCAAATCAACAGGCTTTAGGATGATACCAGTAACTGTATATCCTCACAAATTGACGAACGCCTGATTCCACCACGCCGCGACACATATTATAATACGATGTGGAATGGCTCACTCCTGACTTGATGGCTGGGAGATTACGGACAACTATCGTCACCCCTGGAGAGGCTATTAGACAATGGAAGTGGCACTGGTTGGTCAGTTTGAGGGGGGGGGGGTGTAGGCCTTACTGTTATTGGGAAATTGGCCACGATCAGCATCATTATGAAGTGGTTTACTTTGGTTGTGAAAATAAATTTGAAGAAACGAAAATGTGATTTCCTTTAGTAGTGAAAATAAATCTGAAGCAACAAAAACGTGGTTTCTTTGGAGACTTTAAAAAAAAACGTTCAAGGGTGGAATAGAAATCAAATGAGGTAGTAAGGTATTGAAAGATATATCAGGCGCGGTTCGTCCATAGAGCACAGTCGTACAGTGCCGCCCAAAATTTTTTAATGATTTATTACGAAAAATACCCACACGCAGGAAATTTTAAAAGCCAGAAAGAAACTCCAGCCAAATATTATGTCAAAACAAGGTCCTCGCTAGGGCCGTCAAAAGCCCCGTAAAATATCTACTATGCCATGCCAAAGTCCACACGCTTTAACCAAACATAACAGGACTTCACCAGTTGCAATTTGACCTATAAATCGCTCTTGGGGATAACCCAAGCGATGACGACACTCGTATCGATTTGGCGGTACATTAATATTAACAAGACGGCACATCTCAAATGTGCACCCTCGAAACATAGCCCACAGTAGGCAATCTAAAAATAAACGCTATGGATTGTACACTATTTTATGCCAAAATTACGTGATCCCCGGAGCAATCCAGCAGAGTGCTCAAGTGAATTGTGACTGATTCATTGTCTAACCACTTAAGTGGCAATGTTGTTGTTGTAGGGGCTGTTGCTGTCGTTATTGTTGCTCTTTTCTTTTTTTTTTTCTTGTATTTTGATTCTCTATTTCAATTTTGTTGGGGTTGGGGTTTTTTTTAGCATCCGAGCAGAACCATATTTGGCAAACCATAAACTGAAATTTCAGGATTTGACTCATTTTGATGTAAATGTCTTTAGCCCTGGCAATTTTCCGTTTTATCTCTGTGGTACTTTTGGCATTGGGTGTAATGGTGTAATAATATAGAAATTTGAATTGTTAAACTTGTTTGATTTTTTCACCTCTGCTTAAACGAGTTTACAACATCAGATCTAATTTCTAATGTACTTCCTTGAAATTTGCATTGTCCAACCGGACCGACAGTCCTGTCCTCCACTACGGCCACCGTGGTTGAGTAAACAGCACAACTGTGATCTGATGAAACGCATTTTTTGTCCATCTCGGGAAGAAAAATGCGTTTAGTCAGACCACAGGTGATGTTAACGGTCGATACTTAAGAAAAATGCGCTTTGTAAGATCATCTCTGAAAAAAAAGTGTTTCGTCAGATCACACTGGAAATAAATGCGTTTTAACAAATCTAAAAAGCTAGTTTATTTAAAAACTAGTCGCAGTTAGGCTTTCATAATTATATCTAAAGTTGGCTTTCGACATGTAGAATTCATTAGTGGAATAAAAAATGTTGCCGCCAAAATGAAAAATTGCGTTTTGTCAGATCACGACAGAGCACGCGTCATGGGCAACACGTGCGCTAACAGCGTGAGCCTGGAGCAGTTCCCGCCACTGGTGACCCCTCTGAGCCTCACTGACCGCGGGGTCATCGCAGACACATGGCCGCTCATCTACACACACAGGGAGAAAGTCGGGATACACATCTACAACACGTGAGAATTTTCTTTTTTTTTTCCATTCGTGTGTCGCTTTATCAGATTTACAAAGTTCTATCAGCTCAATATCTAGTTTTGATACATTTGACGTCGGAAATTTTGAGTTTCACAGCCCCTCTCTCTGTCTCTGTCTGTCTGTCTGTCTGTCTGTCTGTCTGTCTGTCTGTCTGTCTGTCTGTCT